GACTTTTAAACTATTTAAGGAAGCAATAAAAATTCACGTTACAATTTTGGATTAAGGAACTGCTCAAATTATAAAATAAATATTACTGCTTTTTAAATTAACCAAATCTTCATTTATGCACTAATGAACATAAATATTTATCAATTGTCCAATTATTTTGGAAAATAAACAAATTTTAAAAAATTTAATATAGCCCCACTTTTCTGAACATTAACCTTCACACCAAGTACTTCGACCACAGTCGAGTTGCAATTTTGTACCGACGCACTTCGCAATAATTGTTTAACATCTTTGATATATCAAAAGTTTAACTACATCTACAAACGAATAAAGATTTTCAAACTATTTAAGAAAATAATGGAAAATTTACGCTACAATTTATCAATAAGGTAATGGTAAAATTATTAGGGAAATATTAATGCTGGTTGAATTAAACTATTCTCAATTTATGTAGAACAAGAATGGTATAAATATTAAAAAATTGTCCTATTTTTGTAAATAAATTTCAACATGACCCCAGTGCTATGGACATTGTACCCTACACTTGCTTCGGTCATGGAAAATGGAAAATAATTTATTATTATTTTTTGGAGAGTTATAATTAAATATAAAAATCAACAAGAAAAACAACCCTGTTTTGATTCAAATCACGATTAAACTGTTAAAGCACCTTAGTATATCTCAAAATATTCTGACTTTACTGCAAGACCGTAAGTTTCACTGTACAGTCTTGTTCCTGCACAAGTCTTGCAGGATCCCGTCTTGGTCTTGATCTTGCAACAATTTCAGCGATTTTGCGCAACTCTAAACAGCTGCCTCAGCGTAAAATAAATATATATTAAATAATTTCAAAACATACAATATGTAAAATGAAATACATAATTATTTATACTATCATAGAATAGTGTATTTACCTTCATAACAATTCGTGATAAAAAAAAAAAAAAAACGTCATAATTTAAAAGAAATCATTAAAGTTGCACCATGTAAAAAAAAAAATAAACAGGTCACTCATACGCTATATAAATCAAGATGTACCGGTAGTATGAAATAAAAAATAAATGCGGATTGCATTAATAAAACAATATTTAATAGGAATAAATATCTATTTTAACAACCGATAATGTTATCCAATAATAATGTTATCCGTTATTTAGTTCAGAAAGTTACTAAAGGTTAATACAAAAGTAGTGGGTATCTTATTGGATACCTCACTAATCGATTAAAGCAAGAAGGATTAATATAAGAAATGAAAAGTTAAGTTTCTCCGAACATAATATTATATATATATATACAATTCAAAGAAAATTTATAGTTGTAACTTTTAATTGAGGAGCTCCAACAAGGCTAAACTAAAATATGTTATAACGACTACTGCCGCTTCGTACTCCTACATTATGAAAATAATTAGTGGAGATTTTTTGTTAGCACTATTTGTGAAAAGTAAACGTGTAATATGGTATATGAAAGGTTCAGAACATCCTTTCTGTGAAATCTTTTCACACACGTCGCATTATATTTACTAAAAGAGATTTCATATCACGGAACGTTCTTTGAATGTCACAAACGAAGTTCTACGTTTATGTTACTGCGTGAGTCAGAGTTTCGAATGCGTATGAGCAGCAATAAAAAGATAATCACATTAAAGAAGTTTTTTTTTTTTAATAGGAGGAAGCCTTTGGCAAAGCTAGAGTCCGAAACAAAAAGAAAACAAAAATTGCAGATGGAAAAATTTTAGGCACGTAAGAAGTTTTTAAATAAACAGGAGATGGGGAGAGGAGAGAGAGGGGCCGTTGTGAATACCTAAGCCACCTGATTCACATTTAAACAGTTTGCTTACTCAACACAAATATAATATTCGCAACGGCTGTAGCTTTTTGGTTAGCAACAGTATCCATGACCGCTTGTATCTTATCTTGTTTACTGCCTACTGCCAAAGCAACAGAGCAACCGACCAGCAAGGAAATAGTTATTTGAAATGAAACCGAATGAAAGTTTGAAAGTACCCATCATGGGAAATTTAGCCCTCTGAAAATAAAAATAACAGAAATGCCCCAATTCAAACTTCATTTGTCTGACTGTACTACCTGTAACCTAATTAAATCTCAAAATATTGGTGATAGAGGAAATGGACAATTATATGGAGTTTAAATTAGAATAAGGAGGTAACTCGACGAATGATAAAGGATTATTTAAAGGAAGCTTGTAGATACAAAACTTGGAAGGTAGAAATCTCGTAATAACAATTCTTCAGAAAATAGGATATAACAAGATTTGCTCGGAATAGCAGTGATAGATGAAATGAAAATATATTTTATTATTCTGGGACTGTTGTCCCTTCGGAACAAATTATTATTGCTGAATACATGTGTAAGTGGTCACAAATAGAGTAGATATGTACAATATTGGTTATTTAAAAGTAAAATACAGACGGAAAGAGAGAAAAAGACATGAAAAGCCTAAATAATACAAATATAGAAAACTAAAATAACAGAAACATTCTCTGGGGGTACCTAGACAGCTCTCTTAGGCATATTTTGTAATCAGGCGGATTGAGAAAGGAGTAGCTGTTTAAAGAGGAGAGGTTTGAAAGAGGAAACTGATTGTGTGTGTCGAATATCAGCAGGGATGGAATTCCAGGAGGAGGCGGCTTGAATTGTAAATGATTTGTCAAACGGAGCAGTTCGGTGAGGAGGAGGATAGAGGTCGGAAGTGCGAGATCTAGTAGGACGGGATTTGGGTGGAGTATTTAAATTGTAAGCTATGGAAAATATATGAGTTCTAATGATCTGGTACAGAAAGGTAGCTAGGAGGTACTGACGGCGATAGGATGGATAGAGCCACTTCAAATCGGTGTAATGCTGGGCAATATGCTTATCTCTTGAGATTCCGAAAACAAAACGTAATGCGCAATTCATTAGGCGTTTAAGTTTGGCCTCGAAATCTCGCGAGAGTGAAATTTTGAAAATATGTGAAACTATGGAACACAAAAATTTGAATCTTAGGAAGAGAAACTTTATTCTAGTTAATTTTTTTAGAGAAACAATTGTTAAGCATAAAACATAAATAAATGTATCAATTATGTTGTTAGATAAACATAATTAGTTTTTTGAAAAACTTTGAGAAAAAAAATTGTTTTGCAATCTTAATAATACTAAAATAAGCATATAACTCGAAAAGAGACAAGTTGATTATGTTATAAAATGAAAAATCCAAACTACAAAGCCATGAGTATCCAACTATTCTCCTGGATGTTGGAAACGCATAGCTACGTTGTTTGGATTTTTCAATTTATAACATAATCTTAATAATAATATTCCAAAAATCTTATTAATAATTTAAGTACAAATAATATTACTTTCATATCTTTATATATTATATCTTGATTTGTTTTAGTCAGTTCGACATATCTTTGACGATTCTTCAACAAATCAAATGATTAAGCCATATTTTAATGGTTCTCTTCTTGTTCAGATGGGAAAATGGTAATCCTCCAAAATTTCATGAAAAAGAGTTATGATGGAAAAGGAACATTATTTGCGAATAACTCGAAAGGTATATATTTTTTTGTTGATTGCATCCATGATTATTTAAAATACTGCAGAATCCCCTCCCCTCCCCCAAAAAGGACATGGAATTTGGACTATTTTTACCAAATATACAGATTATTATAATTTGTGCACATGCTGCTTTAAAATATTGTGACAAAAAATAAAATAGTTCGTAAAATAATTATTAGTTTTCCCTCGAAGAGGGTTAGCTAAAAATAAATTAGTTTTAAGTATCAGTTGTAAATATTAATTTTAAGTCAGTATAACATCCGATATATGAGAGAGAAAAACAAAAGACAGTTTTTGAGAGATGGCGGAACCTCGCGTGTGTGAAATAATTTAGTTTTATGGGGCACACCAGATTTTTCTTTTCCTCTCCAAGAACCAGTGATTATAAGCGACGAGTGCCGCTTGGTTATACAAGTTGTTGAATGAGCATTTTCACAGATTGAGGAGATAGACTTGGAGAGACACTGACGACGCTAGCTGGAATAAGTTCTCGCTTCCTCAGATAAGTTCGCTCAACGTGCCAATTGGACGAAGTTCGGCATTGAGATTTTGTATATATATATATATATATATATATATATATATATATAAGTTTGTAATTGGTTTATTGTATAGTCCAAATTAATGTTTAGTTCTATAATAATTTTATATTCTTTTTTTTATAATTAAAGTTAATTCTATTTTCTTATAAATCTGATTTCTTGTTCATAATTTTCATTTCCTTTAACAATTATTTAAGTAAATAGAAATAGGTAAATTCATCATTAGTATTAATAATAGCCAGTTTTATTTTCTTATTTTCTTCAGTTTGTTTTCACGTTTTATGTATATATTATATTGCTTTTTTTTTTTTTTTTTTTGCTTTAATAAAGAATTGTAGAAAGAATATGAAGGGAAAATGAATATTAACCGAGTAAGAAGGGTCGATAGGTTTTTGAGGTTAATTGACATAGGTTTTTAAGCCTATCGGTTCCGAGTTCGTAGCTCACTCAGCGTTCAAATCTTTTTTTTAAATTAAATTTATTTATTTATAGTTTTCGCTATTTTCCGAATTCAACCAATTAAATAGCGTGGCGCCTGTTACTAAATTATTAATATATCATTGACTCTTGATTATTTTTTTTTCTATAATTTTTTGCGAACCCTACCGTCTCCACTGAGCATCCGGCAAGTATGTTCCAAATTAAATACCGTAACAACATGAATGAAGTGTTCATTTTTTTGTCCACTAGTGGATAGATTCTCAACAAGTGTTTTTATGGCTTCATATTCATTCCTTCACATATATTAGATGTAGTTTTTAATACAGTTGTAAATATAATGAATAAAAAAAAAACTTTCATTTATTTATATTGCAAGCTCTAGCAAGTGCTTCGTTTAATTTCATATGAGATTAATAATAGTTAAAGAAAGGTATAATGCTACGGAGGAAAAACTTACCAGATGAGACTTCACAAACAAGGTTGACATCGGTACCCTCGTTGTAAGGTTCGAGGAACTTCGTCTTGTCCCTCCTCTTCCCATCATATATCACGGGGACGTCCGGGGGAACTGAAACACACAGAGGGGATTAATTACACATTTAAAGCTATAAATTACCAAGCTCAAACATTATCTATAAATATTATCTTTAATTAATTACTTATGCTAACCCATAGCGGCACATCAACCGCTAGCGAATTTCCTGCACCCCGGGCCTAAAAAGTGCTCAACTCGTCTCTGATCAAATATCCATTAATTTTATCCGGTTAAAGTTTACAGATTCCTATAATTTCGAATCGGCCGTGAATGAAAAAAAAAGTGTTATGGTGCATATAAAAACACTGTTTATTAACATTTATTTATTGAATAATATTAAATTATGTCACAAATACACTAGTAAATAGTTATAGAGGAGTTCATTCACACCGAATGCACAATAAATTAAAGATAAGGTACGAGATTCAAGAAATGGAAATTATTTCTGGATTATAATTAGAAAATTTAAGTAGACAGTTTTTCTCTAAATATATGTATACACTATTTTAGTACAACGTTTATAACTATTAAATAATTATTTTTGATAAAAAACAAAAAAATGATGAAACTATCACAGAAAAAGAAAAAAAAAAGTCTTTCTCCTGCGATAAATATTGTATTAATTATATAATCTGATTACTGATTTTCATTAATATTATTACTTTTTGGTATTCATTATTATTTGATTAATGATTCAGAATTATAATTGATTTTCAAAAATGTTGTAAAATATAATTGTAATTATTACATACACATATCCTATTATAATCTATCTTAGCTAATAAATAAATAATCTATCCTATTCTATATATAATATAAAATTTCAAATATGATGTTATCATATTTTTCTTGATGTTATTAAAAAAAAATCGTATAAGTAAAATCTATAATTTGTTTTGCCGTAATGTTTTATATATTTTTTTACAATTGCTCTATTTAGGAACTTCCGTATTGTCTTTACATTGTTAAGCTTAACTTTATCAAGGATAAGTTTTAATTATGTTAAGTAGCAATTCATTACACAAATTATGAAACAGTAAAAAAATGTAATAAAATAATTATATTAAACAAAACTTAAACTAATAAAAACAACAACAACAGCAATAAATACAGGCATACTTTTATACAAAATGTTTATAAAATTATAAAATGTTTATAAAATTCATTCACTCAGGATAATTCCGAGCTAAGCATTTCTGCCCACTCGGGGAAAGAAAAACAGGACTCTAGTAGATCCCAGCGCCATTCACTCAGGCATCTCACTGGTATTAAAAATCAGTTTAGGCTGAGCAGTGATGCTATTAATTTTTTTTTAAGTTAGTCAATTGTCTCGAAATTTTTATCCACTTTGAATAATAGATCAATATTCGAAAAGGCAAAGGAAGAATTGTAATTTTGGTATAATGTAATGTTAAATATAAAATATTTGTTTAGAATGAAGATTATCTATAAAGGATTCAACATTATAATCATCTTTCTGTATGGAGTAATTTAAAAAAAAATGGAATAAAATATGGAACAATGTGAAAACCATAAGAAAAGAATTAGAAAGAGTTTCAGCAAAAAAATATTAAATACACTGCATTATAATGCTGAAGTTAGTGAAGGATTTATAAATTGTGTAATGCACTGCTACTTAACAGAATTAAAATTTATCTTTGATACAGTTAAGCTTAAAGATAACAATCTAAGGACAATTAGCAAGTTCTTAAATAGAGTAATTATAAAAAAAACATAAAACATTACGCAAAACCAATTATAGAATTTACTTTTTAGGAACAACAAGGAAAAATACAATAACAACTAATTTAAAATTTCTCTATCACATATAAATGTTAAGATAGATTATTATAATACGATATGTGTGTGTAATAATTACAATTATATTGTAGAATATTTTTGAAAATCAATTATTATTATGAATCAATAATAAAATAATAATGAATATCAAATAGTAGTAATTATAATGAAAATCACTAATCAGATTATATAATTAATATAATATTTACCGCAAGAGAAATAAATATTTTTTTCTTTTTCTGTGGTATTTTCATCATTCGTTCATTTTTTGTTTATTATCGAAAATCATTATTCAATAATTATAGACGTTGTAGTAAAAAAGTGTATACATATATTTAGAGAAAAACTGTCTACTTAAATTTCCTAATTATAATCCAGAATCATTTCCATTTCTTGAATATCTTACATTAATTATATTTTTTTCGAATATCCTTTAATATTTATGTCTTATTTTAGCAGACTATCTACATCACTTTATGAAATTTAACAAAATAAAAATATGACACTTTTAATGATATTTCTCTAAAGTAAAAACAAACATTAAATATTTATTTATTTTATTTTTTCTGTATCGTGTTCAGGTTTTATTTAAAATATTATTGATTTATATAAAAATAAAAGTGATATAAATAATATCACCAAATAAAACCTATGATAACGTTATCAAATAAATGTAGAACGCTTTGTTTTGATTATGCACTTTCCGCCTAGATCTAAAATAATAAGCTAAAGAAATAGAAGTACATTGACAAACATTCCAAGAAGTGTTTTAAGGAAGACACATTTATATAAAAAGTTAATAATTTCATTAATTAAAAAGTATAAAATATTTTTAAATTAAAAATATTACTAATTGATGCATTACATCCTGCGCCACGGAGAAAATGGACCAATTCTCATATGCAACAGTATCTTTGCAGCACAACAAATACTAAATGTTCAGAACGCTATAATTCTGCACCAAATCGCTCGATTTCGATGATTTTTTTTTTTTTACATTTTGTAGAGAATTTAGTTATCTTTCAAATCCTTTTAGGATGACTAAAAATTGCGTACTTTTCAAGTAATATGCAAATTATGAATTCATTTGTAACGTCCCGATTCGTTGAGACGGCACTATCATACTTACATTCACTTTTATTTAAGTCCAGGTATATCAAAATTACGATTCCCGCAATCTACGTGATATTCCCTTTCTATTTATAAGTCGTTCGTCAAAATCCATCACTCTTGAGAGCCGGAAAAGGGCTAAGGGATATATATTTGAGAAATAATATTTAAGATCATATGCTCCGTCATGAACCAGTCATTCTTAATTTTAAAACCGATAACAATTAATTTTTACACCGTGTGACACAAAGGATGTTTTTTTCTATTCGTCTAATACATTTTTTACTATTTTTTTTTCATTAAATTTAATTATTTAGTTTGGTTAGCATTTGTATTCTGAATTAAAATATCCCTGTTATTTAATTCCTCCTATTTGCCTATAGGTCAATCTAATAAATGATCACATTTGGTTTTTTATTATTATTTATTAATAAACGTTTCCTTGAATCTATGTCCACTTTTTAGCTTCTATAATGTTGTTGGTTTTAAAATTAAAAATGACTGGTTCATGATAGAGCCTATAATATATTAATTGTATAATTTTTGGATGCTAAGAGGTGGACAGAGATTAACCGAAACGTTCATTAAGTGTGATTATTTATTAGATTGAACTATAGGCAAATAATAGTGGAAAAGTAAAATATTATACAACAGATGAGGAAGTAATGATTGCCAACTTCACTTGTATTTTTTTTAATGTTAAAACGGTAATATTTATCTTCTTTAAATAATTGAAGTAATTTAATTTATGCAACTCAATTATATTGAACTCCGTTCTTGTGAATCGTGAATGGTATCGAACTTGGAAATTTCGATTTTAATTGGTATTATTTTCAATGAGGCAAGAAGCATTGGTTTCAATTGAGTAAGCCAAGGCCAGAGTTCCAACTTTTGGCCATTCACGGGGCAGCCGTTGAAGGTGGGGCCCAACCTAATTGATCAACCATGAATCGGCCAAGTAGGGCCAAGGAGGAGGGGGGAGGAGGTAGAACAAGGAGGAGGAATATACCTTCTCAAAGGAACAAGGGCTCGACTGGAGTCTCTGTCCAAAAGTTAGAAATTTAATTTCATCCGAATGATATACCGTGAGCACTTGACTATTCCGCCTATTGTCCAAGTTCCTTATGGGTGGTTTGGCTCCAGGCTCAGAATACAATCGTACCAATACTCATTCGACCTGCTTTTCTCTCCTATAAATTTTATCTCTTCATGAGATTAAGTTCAGTGGGTCTGTAAGATCAAAAATATAATATTAATAACGATATAAAAGACAAATACATTGTTTATGTACATTTATTTCTTCATATTTGTTTTTTTATAATATAATAATTGAAATGAAAAACATTTTTATTGTGAATATTTAATAGTTGACCGTTGCATTATAAAGAAAGGAGATGGTCCAGGATTACGGTCATAAATAGGCTAAATAGTGGTAAAACTGTTTTCTTGAAAGACGACAGTTCTAAGTGAAACTCCTAGATGAACACACCTCCCTGATGAAGACCTGCAAAGTCGGGTGGAAACGTCGGCTTTCAATAAAATAGTTTTACCACTATTTAGCCTATTTATGACCGCAACCCCGGACCATCTCCTTTCTTTATTTTTATTCTGGTACTTAAGTCATCTAAGAATAATGACAGGGTTTAAGAAATATTTACATTAGTCTAGCATGTAAAAATAAAACAAATATACAAAAAATATAAAAATAACACGTTACCTGTTCTTCTAACTGTTGTGGTATGTATTGAACATAGCAGATGAGTTTTTAAAATTTAATATGAGGTGTCTAAAACAAGGTTGAAAGAAACCGACTTCTGACATCAAAAAAAGCGTCAAGAGGGAGAGAACAGGTAGATAAGTACCGACCTTGTACCTGGACCCTGAGGAAGGCTCAGAGTAAAATCTAGTAACGGGCTAAGTAACTGGTTCCTTTTAGGGTGTTACCAGTTATTGTGAATTAATATGGTGAAGTTAAGAACCAATGAAAACCACTTTGCCCCTCCTCCTGAATATTTGTATAAAATTTACCAAAAAGTAAGAAAAGGTGTCTTATGTTGGTTTCTGAGCTTCCGAATAGGTCTGATGTTTTCTTCCGGCTTGAGGACGGAAGCCTTGGCCCTACA